ATGAAATTTGATTATAATTTTGTAGTTTTTACCTATTATTTAATTAAACCTAATTCGAAAATAAATACTTTAAAAATATTAGAAACGTATGATATTAATTGGCTGTATAAAGATACCTGATTGACTTCTTATTTGATAAAAGGATTTTTGTTAATTTTTGACATTAATATCTTTAAATGGATAATAGTTGTGATCATTTAATGTATCCGTGGTCAAGTGAGGACTGAGAAAATAAATAAGAGCCACAAAAAAAAATATTACATAATAAAATAATTTTAATATGAATAAGAAATTTCTTCAAACTAGGGGAGACTACAGTGATGGGGTCCTTGATATTCATTGAAGTAATTAAAGTTCTGTGAAGTTAAATGATAGGTAAATATCTAATGTATCTAAAAAAAAAATTGTATCTATTCATCTATTTTTGAAAAAGTTATAGCAGTTTTAAGTGAAAAAAATTGAAAAAATTTCGAAAATTACCGACTTTTAAATTTGCAATTTTTTTGGCGATTTCTTTTATTTACGGGAAACGAAAGAATTTTTTTCAATTTTTGAGAGTAATATCTTCGAATAGATACAATTTGTGATCTTTGTGAAGAGACACAAAAAATAAATAAAAAAAACTTATTTTAGTAAAATTAATACCTTCTTAACTTCGCATCAAAGCTAAAAGGCACAAGTACTTAGTTTTGTCAATGTTGATAATTCATGACGCTCTCTTGTTATTAAAATTACGATTGAAATCTTCTTTAAATTAGTAACAAAATAAAACTGTTACTTTATTTTTTAATTCCTTGGCCAAAATGNGACTTTTTCTATCACTTCTAAGTTTTGATATTATTATTAATTATTTAAAAATGAGTATTTACATGTAAAAGAATAATTAAAAATAAAAAAGTTTTTTTTTAAATTCTTACTGATTTTGATTTTTAATATATTAAAAATAATCAGTGCAAAATGACATTTTTAACCTATTTTTTGGTCCTTTAATGTTTATTTTTGTGAAAGTTTATAATGAAAAAAAATTGAATTTGTTACCATGATTTTTAACTCATCTTGTATGTTTAAAGTTTAAATCATTAAATAGAAAATTTTATGAGAATTAAAAAAATGGTATTTTTAGGATTAATATAGAGCCAGGAAAATTTATAATTACTATTTACTGATAAAATTTATCAGAAATTTATCAAAAAACTCAATATTTTATTTTTTTGCATTTTTATTGTAATGGATCACATATATAGAAATAATAGTAATAATTTCTAAGTAACTTTTGGTATTTATAAAGAATCTACAGTTAAAATATTCAGAACTTAATTAATTTTACTATAACTAAAAAAAAACAATCAAAAAAATTGTTAAAAAAATCAACACTATTGAGCGTATTATGAAATTTGATTATAATTTTGTAGTTTTTACCTATTATTTAATTAAACCTAATTCGAAAATAAATACTTTAAAAATATTAGAAACGTATGATATTAATTGGCTGTATAAAGATACCTGATTGACTTCTTATTTGATAAAAGGATTTTTGTTAATTTTTGACATTAATATCTTTAAATGGATAATAGTTGTGATCATTTAATGTATCCGTGGTCAAGTGAGGACTGAGAAAATAAATAAGAGCCACAAAAAAAAATATTACATAATAAAATAATTTTAATATGAATAAGAAATTTCTTCAAACTAGGGGAGACTACAGTGATGGGGTCCTTGATATTCATTGAAGTAATTAAAGTTCTGTGAAGTTAAATGATAGGTAAATATCTAATGTATCTAAAAAAAAAATTGTATCTATTCATCTATTTTTGAAAAAGTTATAGCAGTTTTAAGTGAAAAAAATTGAAAAAATTTCGAAAATTACCGACTTTTAAATTTGCAATTTTTTTGGCGATTTCTTTTATTTACGGGAAACGAAAGAATTTTTTTCAATTTTTGAGAGTAATATCTTCGAATAGATACAATTTGTGATCTTTGTGAAGAGACACAAAAAATAAATAAAAAAAACTTATTTTAGTAAAATTAATACCTTCTTAACTTCGCATCAAAGCTAAAAGGCACAAGTACTTAGTTTTGTCAATGTTGATAATTCATGACGCTCTCTTGTTATTAAAATAACGATTGAAATCTTCTTTAAATTAGTAACAAAATAAAACTGTTACTTTATTTTTTAATTCCTTGGCCAAAATCAAGTAATCTCGTGTCACCAACCTTCTGAATTTAGAAAATCAGAATAATAATTCTTTTATATAAATATATTAATAATTGAATGGTTATTGGACTATGTTTCAATGTAAATCTCAAGATCAGTTTCCAATTAATCTGCGATAAATGCTATGAAAAAATGAGTGGGATGATATGAAGTTGATGAGAGGATTTGGGTGATGTAATTTGTTTTATGTAGAATCTTCTGTAGTGATTTTTGGTGAGTATTAAAAATTGGTATTTTTATGTTACTATGTTATTGATTGGAAACACAAAATAGAACGTTTATTTACAAGTTTCGCGAGAATACATATTTGTATTCCACAGAACCACACTGGTGTAATTATTGTTTTATATATGAGAATTGGTCAATGTAAATAAATACGAGTATTTATTTACTTACGTTTTTGTTTTGTATAGTCGAACCAAGTTAGTCAAGCGCAATACCTAAGTATTTTGCTGTTGATTGTAAAGGAAAATAGTTATTGTTTATCTTTAGTGATGGACATTTGTCTCGTTTTAAAGTAAAGTTTACCTGTAGAGACTATTTGTCATTTATTTTAATTTTTCATTTGGATGCCCAGAACGCAATTAGATTTAAACGTTATTGAATATGACTTGAAGCAATGAGTTAATCTTTCTTTGAAGCTAGTAGAGCATTATCATCTGCAAATGTGTCTAACACACAATGCTGTTGAAGGTTAATATATCATAAGTATATATGTTGTAGATCAAGGATAAAAGGTGACTGCCTTAAGGGACTCCATCCTTAATTAAAAAAAGGATTAAAATATATTTTTCAAACTATGAAACTACAAAAAAGACTAGAGCAAAATTTTTTAATTTCAAAAGATCCCGAAATTTTATCTATTATTCTATGGATTTGTTAGATTGTATTATGTTTAGAAAACCAAATGCAATTTTGGCAATATATTGTAATTATTGACAATTGAAACAATTCTATGCAATATAAGTTTTTAAACAAACTACCAAATTTTCGTCCTTTACATAAAGTTAAGTTAATACATTTCTATATAGTTTTTATTCCAAAAAGTAAAAATGACTATTTCTTATGAATAATTAAAAAACTGACAATGAAATAACATAAAAGCATTAACTAATTTTAAATAAAAAAA